GTTAAGTAGGATGGTAAATATCACAATCTAAGATGCTACTCTTCTATAGACTGCTAACTCAAATCTCAGTAGTAAGGTCGAACCATTAGTGTTATCAATTTTCCGGTATATTCTTGCTTTTTTTGAATTGAGAGAGAAAGGTTTATTAGTATCCTTAGGCCACCTTCATTCTAGACTTGTCATTAGGCTCCCATAGACTTTTTATGTCAAGAAACTCCCTTTTTGGGGGTGATTTTTGACCCAGTAATGGACCGATTATGCCTTCCACATGCCCTGAATACTCAGCGGCGTGACTATGCAATGGCAGATGGAGAGAGCATCAATACAACCTACCTCAGCACATACATAAATATTCAAATTTTTAAAATAGATTCGTGCTGCACAGCTGGCTAACCTTTTCCGTCTCAACGGATTACGTAGCAATCCATGGGTTTCACGTCTTTGTTGACAATGTACCTAATCGCTGCCTCACTCACTGTCACCGTTTATCGTCCGGCTCTATCGTTGATGTCTGACCATGCGCCTCAACTATGAATGATGTAGTTAATTCATTTTACCTCTTCTTTGAATCTGGCCAATTAGGTGAAGTTGCATCTTTCGCATTTGGAGAAACGCGACTACGTGCTTCGACCTTGTGGCAAGTCTACAGCAATTCTTCTTTTCCGAGCACCCTCCGAGGAAGCTAAATTGGGGTGGTTGAAGAACCTCCAGTCTGCCATTTCCAGCGCTGCTATCACCAGTACTACCACCACAACACCACCGCCACCCCAATCCTCATCCCTCTCTCTTTGTTCCACGAAAGTTGCCCGAGACGGTGAGTGTTGCTAGGCTATGTTTGGCGCTCTTCTATTCCTTTCATGCATAACTTTACGATAGTCTAACAGTGAGGGGAGGGGAGCGAGAAGCTTTGCGTCTTGCTTAGTAAAATAAGGATTTTATTTTCTTCAAACTCTATCCATTCCCCATTGGTTTTGGGTTCATCGATCTCGCTTGTCTTGCGGGCTTACTCGAAGATGTTAAGGGCTCAAGTTTGGCATTGAAGTACCTGCAGTTTTGCGGCTTGTTGATTGCGGAAGGATAATTTCGAATGTCACACTTTTACAAGAGGTTGACATGTAGGCCATGAAAACAGAGATATCGCATTCACAGTCTTGAGATTGGGCGTTATCACTTACCTTTCCACTAATTCACTAACTGCACAACTTCTGATGCCCAAGTGATGCGCCACTAGTACTTTCACTATCCGACTGGCATTCCGACTTTCTTGCTTGAACTTGGCCATGCTACAATGTGAAAAATGGTTATACTTAAGTGTTTTCTTGTTTTCAAAAAATTGGCTAAGTTTGAAACAATAAAATGAGACATGTTTATGAGTTGTGGTGACCAATGTCCTTTTATGGTTTTTGTCGACTTGGATCCAT